TTTTTTTTTTCAAATCATAAGGAAAATACATATAACAAAAATAATTTTAACTCATGATGCCCGATTTAATTAAAGATTCATTTTAATACCAATATTGATACAGTTTATTAAAATATATGAAACTATGTTAATATATAGTCACTATGATAATGCTTGAATTTTATTATTATGAAATTATTTGGTATGTGAATATGTGAAAATACAAATCAAAATTAGGTGTTATTTCACCTTTTAATTTATTTTTTTGTTTTTTTTTTTATCCAGTTGTATGTGCCCCGTGGCAGTTAGAGTGACTCAACACACTAGAAAGGACCAAAATGGATATGATTAGGCGCCATGTCATGACATGTTACATTTTTATCCAGGGTGCGGATAATAAAAGACCAAATTAAATTAATGAAATTGACAAATTATTGAACCAATATTGAAAGTGATTAATAACAGGGTGAGTTTTTGGACAATGGCCAAATTACATGACCAATTTTGAATTTTTTCTGTCTCGGGAGTATAAAACTTTGTAACTCTACTGCATATGATTGGAATCTAGGTTTTTTTTTTTTTTCCAACATCAAATGAACCATTTCATTAAACTCAAAAGAACATGTACATATCGACCAACCAACATGTTGAGGTATTAACTCGTGCCTACTCAAGGTTAAGCAAGAACCCACACAAGGAGGACATCTACCTAGACTCCCCTACTAGACCACAACGGCCCCCACACCACACAAAGACACAAGACACAAAAAGATCCTACACAAAACAAAATCCAAACCGCAATCACAAGAAAACAGAAACCAAACCAAACTGCAATAAAGTTCAAGCACTAGACTGAAACTAACACTAACACCACAGACTCCGGAAAATCAATAAAGCAAAACACATCAGTAGCCAAGACAACAAGATTAGCAGAGAACCCATTTCTTGATTGAAGCATCATGAACAAGTGTTTGTTCTGTATTTGAATCTCAGGCCTTTGCCATCCTTCGACACTCGAGGTTCAAGCCAGCTTCTAAGGTTCACTAGCATATATTCCACTGAACAGCAGCTGCCAGCATCCCTAAAGTATTGCCATCTGTGAACTTCCAAATCCAGCTCCATAGGTTGTCTCCTGGCCCTGCCCTCGTCCACATGAAGTACAGTAGCACTGGTTGAAATCACCTTCAACCCTACTTCTAGTTTAACACCTGGACTATGGGGACCATCATCCTGTCTATTTGTGAAACCACCACCACACTCCCCTTTTATCTCTTCATATTCCAACCATTCATGTCTAAGTCCATAACGAGAGATTTAAATGATCAAAACTTTTTCGCTTGACTCATTATACTTCCACAGAATTTTAAAAGGTGATGTATTTTTAAACTTGTATTGATAAGTTCAGCAGACGTGTCTTTAGATATGAATATTTTCTCGTAGAAGGAGATGTAAAAATCTGATTTACTCCATCTAAAAATCCAAGCAAACAATTAAAAAGTGATTCAAATTCAGTACGTATGGGATTGTTGTGAAGTTTCAATTCTGTCCACGAAACAATGTAAAAAATTGTCATAAGTGTTTCATAACTGACTGGAACATTCATAAGTGGAACAAGTTAGCATCAACCTTTTCAAATTCTTGACTACCTTGGCTGAAGCTTTAAGAAAATGTAAGGTCTGAAGCTTTAAGAAAATGTATAATGCTTTTCGCTCTTTCTCCCAAGATTGTCAAATCATGAAATCATTAAAAGACTATGAAAGTAATGCATTGATAGCCCATCCATTAATGAACAATTGATTTTTCATTATAATCATATATCTCTCTCACAAATCAATAAATGATTTAACTATATCTCACAAAAAATAAATATATCCCAAACATCCACATATTTCTATGCTGTTTAATCCTACACCAACTAAGGAGTAAAAAAAAACTAGTGTAACAAACCGAGAGAGAGAGAGAGAGAGAGAGAGAGAGAGAGAGAGAG